TTTTCAGGTTGATGTTTTGGCTGCGTCGCAATTTCCAGTGTTGGGTGAAACTTGTTCTATCACAGCCTATTCTATGTTCAATTCCCTTTTCACCTATACTAAATGTGTCACCACTGATTCATTCGCCGAGATATTTGAAGTGTGTAGTATTTATTCATTCTACCTCCTGAATTTTTATGAAGAATTCAGAGTAGGTGCCATGAGTGTTCTAATTCCAATTCCATATCATCGTTTCTGTTTCGAAAAGATTTATCTTGAGTCCTATTTCTTGGAACAGGTTGTAATGGAATGCCCCACTCTCCCTATCGCCTATTGTGGACTGACTATATCAGTGTATATATATATATAATAAGCACAAGATATACTTGGCGGACTTCCTTCGGGAATTAGTTGGAGACTCGTCTCCAGCTGAGCTAGTCGAACTCTCAGCCTTCGGGCAGAGAGGAACCTAGACGAGGCTATGCCGAAGGGCGGAGTCTCGTCTGGGGTGGTAGACAGCTACCCGACACCGTGTATACGGGGAATTTTTGCCTTCATTAAAATCGGCCATGTGCCACATCCTGCCTCGCGGGGAGGTCGGGTAAATACCCTTCCTTCGGGAATCAGTTGGAGATTCGTCTCTAGCCGTGCTGGTCGTACTCGCTGCCTTCGGGCAGAGAGGAACCCTCACGAGGCTATGCCGAAGGGCAGAGTCTCGTCTGTGGGGGTAGACAGCTATCCGACCATGTGTATACGGGGTCTACGGGAAATTTTTGCCCGAGCCTAGGGTTCGTTTTTTCCCCCGCATTAAAAAACAGCCTTGTGCCACATCCTGCCTCGCTTCGAGAATTGGACTTGCTTCGGGAATTGGTCTAGAGTTGGGGATTCGTCTCCAGCTGTGTTGGTCATACTCTCTGCCTCCGTACAGAGAGAATCCCCAGACGTGGCTATGTCGAAGAGCAGAGTCTCGTCTCGGGAAACTGCTACCCGACCTCGTTTTATACGGGGAATTTTTCTCCAAACTTACGGGATCGTATACCCCACATTAAATTCGGCCTCGTGCGACATCTGACCGCGTGGGGCGGTAGGTAGGTATCCTTGCTTCAGGAATTACTAGATTGTTAATCGATTCCGTCTTTCAGTAGTGTATTCTCTTTTACAATAAACCTCTCTTTCTTTCATTTATGCTCATGTTGCTGATTCTTTCACTCGAGAACCACCTTTATCTGTTTTAAGGTTACAACAGAACACTAAGTAGAGCATTTTGATTCTATTCACAATCATTTTTATACCAACTATGAAGACCAATATCATGGCATAGCCGACCTCATCATCAATATATTACGCTAGGTGGGGAGAGCAGGATCGTTGTCTTCTATTGGATGATTCGCTCGGGATTAGGTATGGGATGCTTAAATAAACAATGTACATCACTTCACATCTGTAGTTATAAATGTGCAGGATATAATCTAGCTAAAGATTAAACAGACTATAAACACGTGTATTTTATCTGTTTAAATGTTATTTTTAGTGAATATTCATATTTCAGTAGATGTTCCGTTTATTTATTAAACAGTATATTTATTTATTTTCGTCTACCGGCCTGAAAATTCTGATTAAAGACGATATGCGATCTCCGGTAGGGTTCGAACTTGCGTCTCTCTGCGCAGAGGGTACCGACATCAGATCTGACGTGCTCTAGGCTGATTGTGGCACGTAGAACCCTTCTCGTCAGAGACTTTCGAAATTTCCTATTTGATTAGTTTTATATCTGAACGTAAACAAAGCAATTTCTAAAGACGTAAATGATTCTTTATTTATTAATTCAACAGATTTTATCACTCTAAAGGTAATTTTTTAGTGGATACTAATATTTCAGTAGACGCTCCGTTTATTTGTTACACACTATATTTATTTGTTTTCGTCTACCGACCTGAATATTCGAGAAATTTTATTAAAGAAAAATATGTGCTCCCCGGCCACGGTTCATTTTGCCGCAGGTTCGTATCTTGTCGGTGAGAGTATATTTTTCATAAGGAACACTTGATGAGGCATTTTTTTTTTGTTTCTTTGTTGGTTTAGTCGTTTCAAGCACTTAATCTCTTTCAATGTTGAAATCCTACAATATCTTGATGGGGTGATTTTCGATTCCATTATTTTACTTGTGGAGGTAGCTTTTGTTTTTCTTCTTCTCGTTGTTATTCATGGAAGGAGATGTACCTTATATCTGAAGTATTTACAAAATTTCTCACTGGTGCTAACACACGACCCCTAGTTAAAAACTGAAAATGCTAACTTCAAACACACACTTTCTTCTTTTAACATATTCTATTCATTCACACTTAGCACAGTAGCAAAAAAAAAAACCCATCGAACCTGGTTTGAAATAATATTTAAGGAGCAGGTTTAGCCGAATAATTCGAGGGTGTAATGAGTTCATTATTCACATGGTGCTTCGAACTTGTTGCCCTGTGTCAGACTCTGCGTTATGCCGAGCAAGTATGGTTCCTTTTGGACAGTT